CAATTAAAATATATATACTAGTAGCATATTCACAACTCGGATTTTCTTATCAATGTTGACAGGCGTCAGAAGCCGAAGTTTTTCAGTACTGTACCAGTATGGTGTTAAAGAACACACGGCATATCTAAAATCCCGGTTCTCATTTATCGGTCAGATTTAGTAAGATGGAAGGATCATTAAACATTAACTGTGTTTTTTTGTTGACGTTTTAGAGGCTTCCAGAAAAAACTTTGTAGGCGTTAACAATTGGAATTTGAGGGTGTAGGGGGTGGTATATCTCAAGTTTTGGCGTAAGTATACCCCTCCTCCTGCTCCCTGCTCTTCAATTATCAGATAGGCATTAGCTCTTAGAAGCACTGATACAGCTCAGCAAATTTTCATTCTTCCATAGCCCCAAGAACAATAACAAAACTAAGGTGTTAAAAATCCATTTAGAATGTTCGCCGACATATCGAAAACGGGACACTACCGGAATAAATGAGATACTGGTTCGGTTTCAGCGACTGAAAGGACGTATTATAAACATTGTTGGGCTTACATTCCCAAATGACTCGTTTGTGACGACGACGTCTAAAACTCTTGGGACCACAGGTAACACAAAATATTATAGAACTTTGTAGACTAATGTTTGCCAAAATAAACCTCAAACTATCACGATATTTGTCTAAAAACGGGCAACATCATTTCTCTTCATGATTGTCTAGGTAAGCCATAAATAGTCACAAATGTTCACAACAAATGTGAAGATTATTTCTATTAACATAAATTTGAAAACATGTAGATAAATTTGCACCAATTTTCACATGAAACTATAGAAAAGTATGTCTAATGCGGATATTTGAAGTTACTTGTGCCCTACTATAGCCCAGTGATCATGGTAAATTGAAATGTTACAACGGTAGGTACGTTTCTGTGTTGACATCTATTATTGACTAACGAACATACACATACGAGGTCTGTACACTAAGTGATTTTTTTATTCAAACATGATCACAATAACTATATATTGTCACCCTCAAAATAACTTCCTTCTGAAGCCGCCCGACGCTGTAGGCAGTTCTACTACTCCTTAAAGCAGGGCGGGAACTCCAATACTGGAATAGCCTTCAGCTGGCTTGTTACAGCCGTTTGAATGTTTTCGACTGTCCCAAAATGAGTTCCTTAGGTGGTTTTTCAACTTCGGGAAAAGTCACAAGGATTCAAGTCAGGAGAACGAGGAGGCTGAGGCCAAAAACTCGTTTATTGACATTGCTGTGTTACAAGGAGCATTATCGTGGTGCCACACCCAGTTGTTCTTGATCTGATAAACGGTGGTGTGAGTCAAATCTAACTATTCCTTGACGATCTGAATGCACAAGATCCCGGATTCCGTCGATATTTTCATCGGTTCTTGAAGATGAAGGCCTTCCGCTTCGTGGTTCATCTTCAATCGACTGTCTCCCTTCTGACAATGCCTTAAACCACCAAAAAACCTAGGCTCTTGGCTAAATACTATCTCCGTAGGCCTGTTTAGCAAGAGTTTCCGTTGTACTGTGCCCTAGTCTGAAACAAAACCTGATAGCACAACGTTGCTTGAAATTTATGTCACTCATTTTTAGAACACAGTAGAAAATATCGCTACGGACAAAGAAAAGACTCGAGCGAGTTCAAATTTGTACTTAAGGCGCATCACATGTTCCCTTGTCCCCTACAAGCCCGGTGCCTACGGTGTTGCCAGATCGAATGCTACGTTGCCAGTCTCATCACTTAATTTACAGACCTCGTATATCTTGAAATTATATTTATTTACACCTGGCGATCAAAACTGATAGCAGTGGCTCATCGATTTCCACAAACAAAATCATCTATTTCCGTAGCAGTTAGGAGGTGTCCTACCCCTTAGCACATCGGCAAGAACAAAATTGAAATAAAAAAACGAATAATTTGTGCATTCCGGCAGAACATGCTACTAAAGGATGAGTCCCTGCCTTCATTTTTGATCTATACTCAGTGACAAGAAACATAAAACACACAGTAACAATGTTCATTTACAGTATATTCAGAGAGATTAAGAGATAGACCGGACATAAACAAGACCACGTGATCATCGAACGCTGTAACATTCGGCAGGGACGTATTAAGAGTCACGCAGTACATATTTTAGAGAGTAGATGCTGCTTTGCGTAACTCTGTAGTAAATTAGCACAATTCGATGTGTATACGATTGGTGATGGATATAGGATCATGTGGGGGTGGGGTAAGAAATATATAATGATGTAAATATACATAAGGGTTTCAAAATTTTCGCTTCGATTTCCAGCTTCGGATGCCGCCTGATGTTTGGTGAAATACAGTCGAATATAATCTCAAAATGGCGTTTAAATTAGCCTAAATTAAAAATAATCGTATATCTCTTAAAATTGCTTTTAGAATATTGATTAGTATATTTTTTGATTTCTAGGTAAATATGTAACCAAATTAAAACGTTCAAAACGTAAAAAAATGTACATGGTTGAACATTGTCAGAAAGTAGATTCTTGAATAGGTTTTGCCAAAATGGGTTCAAAAATGTCAATAATTAATTAAAAAATACAGTAGCTTTATAATTACATATAACTTACCGAATTTGATGAACGACATCTTTTATTGGAAAGATGAGCTTGATGAGCTTTCATCATCGCTACTGCCTGAAGCACCAACGTCAATAATGAATGGCTCGACTTGTTCCTCTAAAATATTGTCCAGTTCCCACATTTTCTTTTCAACTTTGTCTTTCACGTGCTTAATACAGTTTTCCCATTTTTGCGCTGTTATTAATCCTAGTGCTTCTTTGAAAAGTCCTTTGAGGCCACAAAATTTAAAAGTTGTATTGTGCTTAGCTATATAATTTTTAACCTCTGCCCATATGAGCTCAATGGGATTGAGCTCGCAATGGTATGGAGGTAAACGGAGCACAGTTTTATTTTGACTTGCTGCCATTTCGTCAATGGCGTATTTTTGATATTCCGCCTTGTGATACTTGACAATTCTTAATAATTGTACTTTCAGCATTGCTTCTTCAAAGTTGATATTTTTCGAGCGGAGCCAATTTTGAACATCAACTTTCCTTGAAGCCGTTGTTGGGACCTTCTCCATTCTTCGAGAATGATAAGGCGCATTATCCAACACAATTACTGCGTTTTCCTCTAAGTTCGGTAAATTTTTTTAAAACCACTGTTCAAACGATTCGCCATTCATTTCCTCGTGGTAATCTCCAGTTTTCTTAGACTCAAAGCACCACAGACCGTCAACAACAAATCCATCCTCCGTTGTATCTCCATTTACCTCCTGCAGTACTTTATCTATAGTAGGCATTTCATTCCTAAAGAAGAATTCATGCACTTTCCTCCTAATCGCATGCTTATCAGCTTCATCCAATGATTTAACAATACTTTTGCGATGTTTACTGGTCATTGGCTCAGAAAGGTGTGATTTTTTTTGTATTGTCTTAACACACACTGATGCGCGACACACCCCAACTTTGTGAGAAACCTTCACAACAATTTCTTTGATGGTTGATGCCTCGTTCTCCTCGCGCTCGATCTTATATATATTCAAAATGACCTCTTTCATTTCTGCACTCAGGTGTCTTTTTTTAGAGCGTTTCCTAGGTGGACTACAGGAGTTTACAACTTCATCGGCAGTATCTGTACTACTGGGCATTTTGCGCAAGCAGTTGATAACAATAACAATCAATAACAAGGTATAACAATAACAACGACAAACTCAACAACTTAATAAGATAACAAACGAAAACGTCCAAAGAAATATCAAATTGCAATGATGCACACGACATACGTAACACGTCTGAACCTGAATATGACTCTGCCTTGATACGACTGCTCTGCCGCTCGGCATAGGCATTTAATTGCGAATTGACCAACGAGGGCTCCTGTTTTACGTCGAGACGGCGGCGTTAGCGTGAAAATCACCCGAACCTTTTGTTTACATCCGGTCTATCTCTTATCTGAATATACTGTAGACATAAGCAATAGGGAGCTGTGATTAAATTTTTAAGTGAAAACATTATTTTCGTGACTGAATAGGTTAGCACACCTAAGGCCATTAAAAAAAGTGAAAACATTTGCTGTATAGCTGCATTTCCTTCAGACGCCATATACATTCGTCCAGTCATCAGAGCATGCCTCTGAGGAGGTGATTTAGGTCTTCTTGAGGTACCTGAAAGAGGTCGCTATTCTTCGCATCATACCACATGCGTGTTCAATTGGTGAAAGGGATTATAACTTGAGCGTTATTGAGGTTGTTTATTATAGCTCTAGCAAAATGGGATTGGGCATTATCTTGTCTTGGAGAGAACCAAAAAAGAGGTTTCCTGGATATCGAATCAAATCAAATTCGAATCAAATTAATTTTCAATTGCAAGTAGACCACATCTACTATATCGCCAGAATCGACGACGTCTAGCGGTCCCAGTGACGACTCTGGTTGCGATACGAATTGAGTAGTGGTCGATTCTAGCAACACCTACCACTTATACGAAGAAGTTGGGAGATGCGATTACATGAGATTCTTAGTTACCTCTAGTATCCATCTTGCTGAAGCTATAATGAACTGCATCAATGATGCTGAAATCAGCCTGTTTCCTTGGCCTCCTAGATCCACAGACCTTTCGCCCCTTGACTTTATATGGGATATGATGAAAAAAATAGTGACGCCTTTATCTCATCGTCCTTAAACACTAGCACCTTTTCAGAACCAAGTACAGCTGGCTTAGGATGAGATAACCCAAGCACGTCCTCAAAGACATTATCAGAGATATCCAACAATACAGCAAGTTAGTCGCTCCAAAATTCAAATGCGACTTCTAGCTTATGTTAGAATCCTATCATGTTTACTGGATGTTATATCTTCTTTGTCAGTGAAGATAGTATAAATGAATGGGTTGTTCAAACAGGCATTATTTTGTTTTAGAATGGATTACCTGATCACAATCTATGGCCTATTGTTTATAACCGGAGTAGTGAGCAATAGCACGTTGGCCATCAGTTTTTGGTGGGGCCGTGGATCAAAGAGCCCACTTCTGATGGGCCTTATTACAGCGGACTTCTTCGTTTGCTGTCTTACTGGTCCGCTCACCGCCGTCCTCTATAGCCTACCTTACTCTTCCGCCATATGGTTTATTATAGCCCAATACGTTCAGGTATTCAAATAGACCAACATTTAGAAAACTGAAAAATGATATTAGAAGAAACAACTATTATCGATGAGACTGTTAGATCACCAAGATCTAGTTAGTTCACCCAATAGAAATAGTTCAAATCTCATATATACTAAGTGACATATAAATCCGAACACCCAGTTTAAATGGTTTTATTTTAATAAAAGTTGGTGAATGTATTTATCTTACTGTAAATAACAAGTGAAAAAATTTTCAGCCTTATCAGTTGGACATTCCGGTTTTTATACTGCTTTTTTTTTAATTCACTAACGCTCTAAAAATGAATATTTCAGCCGCAGTAAAGAATCAACGTTGGCGGATTTTGGTTCTTGACATCCTTTACGATCGGTTACGATGCCTAGAGTACGGAGACCTGTACGATTTCGTCAACTTAGTGAGTTTGATAGGGGCCGTATAGTGGGACTTCGGGAAGCTGGACTTTCTTTTCGGGCGATTGCAGTTAGAGTGCAAAGAAGTGTAGACACTGTGGTTAGGTGTTGTCAGGCATGGCTTCGAGAAGGCCGTACGCAAAGAGCAAGGGGCACTGGACGCCGCCGTAGAACAACAGACCGTGAAGATCGCCGCCTAAGATTATTGGCCTTAAGGGACCGTTTCTCCACTACCAGGTCCATTGCAAATGAATGGTTTGCAGAACACGGAAGACCTATTGGCATGCGAAGTGTTTACCGACGAATGAGAAGTTTTGGCTTGTTTTCATACCGGCCACACTGGGTCCTCCCTTTAACTCGAGAACACCGACGTAATCGCCTTGAGTGGTGCAGACAACGGTCACTCTGGGGTCAGAAATGGAACAGTATTGTCTTTAGTGACGAGTCTCGATTTTGTTTAGGCATGCACGATGGTCGTGCCAGGGTTAGGAGGCGACGTGGTGAAAGGAGGAATCCACAGTTTTTTGTTGAAAGACATGTTCATCACACTGTTGGAGTTCTGGTTTGGGTGCTATAGCTTATGGTTCCAGGTCACCTTTAATCTTCATCAGAGGTAACATGAACGCGCAGCGTTATATCCACGAAGTTCTAGAACCCCATCTTTTACCCTATCTTGACACCCTGGCAGATCCAACTTTCCAACAAGATAATGGCCGACCACATGTTGCAAGAGTCACAATAGACTTCTTTCAACATAATGATGTCACATTGTTACCATGGCCACCAAGATCTCCCGAATTATCCCCAATTGAGCACGTGTGGGATATGATGGGTAGGAGATTGCTCAATTTGCAACGTCCTCCTCAGACTCTAGAAGCACTTCGAGAGGAGTTGGTGGTTGCCTGGAATGAGATACCACAGGAGGACATTGACCACCTGATCAGAAGCATGCCTAGGCGCGTTGGAGAATGCGTAGCACATCAGGGTGCATCCACACATTATTAAAGGTCAAAGGGCTTTAAAGCAGTGCAATCATTTTGAAATTTGTACTTATTATGCTTCATTAAGTACTTATACAAAATTTTATTAAAATAAAACCATTTAAACTGGGTGTTCGGATTTATATGTCACTTAGTATAGTAACAAATCGTATCGAAAAGCTTGATGGAACGTATGTGCGCGAATAATTATAGCGCACAGAAAAATTATCCAATCCATCTCAATATTTTTCAACATGGCTATCCACCGGTGTATTAGAAGTAACCGAACGGCCCAGTATTTTTCCAAGTATTTATGTAAAAAAAAGGCCAAGGTCAGATCTTTACCAACTTTGAGTAAGTTCAATGGTGACTTTGCCCACCTTCAAGGATACTTCAAGGTAAACTTTGGTAAATGGAAAGCCCCTTTTTTGACACCGGCAATCATAAGAATGGAAAATTCTACGTCTAGATATGTGTTAAAATCAAGCTCCGAAGGTCAAACATGTGAGACTAAGGAAGATTCCTAGAAGTTTAGCAGGATTACTGATGAGAAAACAAAGTCAGGCTTTTAGTAATTTTCAACAAGGATTTGAATATTGATCCTTGATTTAACCTTGAGCCTCATATTCAAGGTCATAATAGAACATAAGAACGTATTAGAACCTGAAATATCTCATTGACGGTATTAAAGCCCAGTTAAACAAAAATTGATCGTGAAGAGCCTTCGGAAGTGTTCAGGGTTGAATCCAACGTTACCATCGAGCTACTTATTATAGTCTGGCACCGAAAAGGAAGCGAGCATCAAACTGGCGAGGCGTGCCTTTGAATTGACAAAGTCGACGCGCGCGTATTCCACCGTATTCAACGAGCTGGCGCGGCGGCAGTGGCGTGCAATGTGTTTTGCTATTTTTTTTTTGGTACCCGCGTATAGTTAGGTGGTAGTATAGATTTAACTTTGAGTTTTTTCAAAAATACTTTATCTTATAGCCATGGCTTTCCCAAATAGCCCTCTGGTCTCTATAAATTGTTCTAAACCCCACATATTCGAGATTATTGTTATTCGATGGAACGTTTTATGTATCTATGTGGTTTTACACATAAATGCCGCAAAGCGGTTGTATCTTCATTTCGAATATACAATCCAGGATTCTAACTGAGTTTCAATCGCTGACATTAATTTCGATATCGCCTTGCCGTCGTACGTGTGATCCGTGGTGGTAATATTGCCACCTAATTTATACACCGGAATATCGTTCAATGCCGAAATTATCGTCTACGTGTGACAAAACTTCAGGATTAAGGCCACAGCTGTTTCTGCGTATGACTCTAGATTACAGGTCACTCAAATTAAATCGTTTTCTGTCATTGCAGTACAAAATTCAATCAACATAACGATCACGGTAGCACGGGATAACCAAAGGCCTATAATATACTAAGTGACATATAAATCCGAACACCCAGTTTAAATGGTTTTATTTTAATAAAATTTTGTATAAGTACTTAATGGAGCATAATAAGTAAATGATAAAAATTTCAAAATGATTGCACTGCTTCAAAGCCCTTTGAACTTTATAATGTGTGGATGCACCCTGATGTGCTACACATTCTCCAACGCGCTCAATTGGGGATAAGTCGGGAGATCTTGGTGGCCATGGTAACAATGTGACATCATTATGTTGAAAGAAGTCTATTGTGACTCTTGCAACATGTGGTCGGGCATTATCTTGTTGGAAAGTTGGATCTGCCAGGGTGTCAAGATAGGGTAAAAGATGGAGTTCTAGAACTTCGTGGATATAACGCTGCGCGTTCATGTCACCTCTGATGAACATTAAAGGTGACCTGGAGCCATAAGCTATAGCACCCCAAACCATAACTCCAACAGTGTGATGAACATGCCTTTCAACAAAAAACTGTGGATTCCTCCTTTCACCACGTCGCCTTCTAACCCTGGCACGACCATCGTGCATGCCTAAACAAAATCGAGACCCGTCACTAAAGACAATACTGTTCCATTCCTGATCCCAGAGTGACCGTTGTCTGCACCACTCAAGGCGATTACGTCGGTGTTCTCGAGTTAAAGGGAGGACCCAGTGTGGCCGGTATGAAAACAAGCCAAAACTTCTCATTCGTCGGTAAACACTTCGCATGCCAATATGTCTTCCGTGTTCTGCAAACCATTCATTTGCAATGGACCTGGTAGTGGAGAAACGGTCCCTTAAGGCCAATAATCTTAGGCGGCGATCTTCACGGTCTGTTGTTCTACGGCGGCGACCAGTGCCCCTTGCTCTTTGCGTACGGCCTTCTCGAAGCCATGCCTGACAACACTTAACCACAGTGTCTACACTTCTTTGCACTCTAACTGCAATTGCCCAAAAAGAAAGTCCAGCTTCCCGAAGTCCCACTATACGGCCCCTATCAAACTCACTAAGTTGACGAAATCGTACAGGTCTCCGTACTCTAGGCATCGTAACCGATCGTAAAGGATGTCAAGAACCAAAATCCGCCAACGTTGATTCTTTACTGCGGCTGAAATATTCATTTTTAGAGCGTTAGTGAATTAAAAAAAAGCAGTATAAAAACCGGAATGTCCAACTGATAAGGCTGAAAATTTTTTCACTTGTTATTTACAGTAAGATAAATACATTCACCAACTTTTATTAAAATAAAACCATTTTAAACTGGGTGTTCGGATTTATATGTCACTTAGTATAGTTTTCGATAATAAACAATTGCTGAGGCTGTAGGCATCTCAAATGAACATGTGCTTCATCTTTTGAAAAATAAATTAGGGTGTACAAAGCAGGCTGTAGAAATTCAGGGTGAAACGTTCAGACACCGGATGCAAAAATGATCTTTCATCGGAAGCCTGCACCTGCTCAAAAAAAATAACGTCAAGTAGGTTGACTCTGCACTTCCCACGCAACGCCCTTATCAGTACATAAAGGAATATGTTCATCACAAACTAGAGACCCCTGAGAAAAAAGTCAGTCTACCGGTAGTGCATTTGGAATGATCAGGGTCCTCTGAAATGTCAAAATACCAGTTTGAGCGACTTTTACTTTTTTTTCAGTCCTTTTTTTCTAACTAAAAAGCTTTGATATTCTTGGGATATTGGTAACACTGTATAAAAATTTAATCAAAATCCGATACGTACTTTTCAAGTTCTCGGTTATAAGATTAGCGGACAGACAGAAGACAGACCGACGGAAATGAGTGGCGTGGTTTTTCGTGATGTACATGTCATTAACTGAATTTATCATCTAACTATCATTTTCTTCCATACTTTCCAGGTGATGAAGTTCTTTTAGAGAAGGCATACATCAAATAGAAAATCTTTGGAAACTATACTGAATTTTCAGAGATCATCTAATCTTGTTCCATATTGAATCCAGAAACCTTTCAAATAACCTGATAAAATGGAATTCTCTCTTTTGCCTTTCCTGTCTGAAATCTAACCGGAAAACCTTGTTCCATCTATCACACAAAGTACTTTAAATGAAATAATGAAAAAAAATCAGAAATTTTACCCGTCTTTTTTAGTTATGTAGTGCCACTACAGACTGTTTTAAGGCAAACAGATTAAATAGCTCAAGGTGTTTTCCGGGAGGGATCA